ATCGTTTACAAGACATTACCGACTTTGGTCCGCATGTGTAAGAAAGATAAGGAGCCGTCGGTTCGGGCGACCGGTGCTGACATTCTCGCCTATTTGACTGAAATCGACACTATTCTACAGCAAACGGCCAGTATATGCGATCATCTGATCCCAACGTTGGCCGAACTCCTGAAGTATCAATCGAATTGCATATCACTCTTGGGTTACTCTGACCTCAATAATCAACCGATAACTGCGGCCACAGTGAAGAAGTTGGAACAGGAAGTGATCACAACGCAAGAGATAAAACAGGCGGCGTTCAAAGCATTCGCCTCTTTGGGCGCCAACGATGAAGACATAAGAAAAAAGATTATTGAAACCGATTATATAATGGATCACATTGTGAGCGGTCTCTCGGATCCCAACATAAAGACCCGATTGTCTGCTCTCCGATGTCTCCATAGTTTGTCGCGTTCTATACAACAATTGCGGACAACATTTCAAGACCACGCCGTTTGGATTCCCCTAAGAAATCTCTTACACAACGCGTCCGACGAGATATTGAGTGTCGCCTCCAGTACTTTATGCAACCTTTTGCTTGAATTTTCTCCGAGTAAACAAGTAATGAAACCTATTTATTTGGATGAACTGTATGTGTGGTGTTAATTGAAACGTTGTTTGATTGCATGTTTGCAGCACTTCTTAGATCGCGGAGCCGTAGATCTGTTGTGCGAACTGACGCGCAGAGAAGAGGCAGCGCTGCGTCTGAACGGCGTTTGGGCGCTCATGAATATGGCCTTTCAGGCCGACCAGAATGTTAAGTCACAAATTCTCAACTCTTTAGGAACCGATCAAATATTTCGACTTCTGTCCGATCCGGACGTCAACACATTGATGAAGACTTTGGGTCTTTTGCGGAATTTGCTCTCAAATAAACCGGTTTGTCATCGCATATGCATATGAAATGAAGTGAATGAATGAACTAATGGTTTGGTCTCTTTGTATTGGACAGCATATCGACCACATAATGAGTTTGCATGGAAAACAGGTGATGCAAGCCGTCATTCTGATCCTCGAAGGCGACCACACGTCCGAAGTGAAAGAACAGGCGCTCTGTATTCTGGCCAACATTGCCGACGGAGACTCAGCCAAAGAGTTCATTATGTCCAACGAAGACGTGCTCAAGAAGTTGACGTCATATATGATGCACTCCAATGTGAAGCTCCAAATAGCGGCCACTTTCTGCATATCGAACCTCATCTGGTCTGAAGAGGACGGCGCCAACAATAGACAGGACAGGCTTAAGGAGATGGGCGTACTGAAGCTCCTGCAACAGCTGCTCACCACCAATGATACCACTCTTTTCGATAGGGTTAAGACAGCGTTACAACAGTTTAATAATTAACTAATTATGTTTTTTTTCATCCACTTATTTATATATACAAATATTTGGTCCATATTTTGATATATTTAAAAAAAACTCACAAAAAAACAATTGGAAAAAATCATGAATCCTGTAGTGAATTGGTTAACAATTGAATAGTGAAATCATTGAAAAATTGTAATATTTCTATCACTTTCTTTCGTATATAAATTAACAATAATTTAATTAATAATTAGTTGTATAAAACATAAAACAGTTGAGTTATTATTGGATTTAAAGTCAAAGTTTGATACACTTTAATGGATTTGTTAAATAGTTGAATGGAAAGTTTTCATCACAAAACTACAGACGAGAGAAGAATAGTCTTAATATTTAGAATAATAGCCAAATGAATGCTTCTTCGGTCGGGAATCGAAACAAATGTTAATGACTTTTCGTTTGGAAGAGATATCAATATTTTGTGTCACTTTCTTATAGGGCTTTGCGTTCGCAATGTATAAAATGTGATCGATTTTGGCATTTCGTTCATCACATAGACTCGTATCGTAAGACCATTCGGAGAGCGTTTCCCGCAATGGATTCATTGTGTAAATAAGTGTCGAATCGTTTGCGACGAGAGATTGATTTCCGAGTGTTTGTTGAGAATTGGGTTCCAATAAGGATTTGGTGATCGCTGTCGACGCCACTAATGCCAATACAGCCGCCCAATAGGCCATCGAAGACATCACCAACAGTTTGCTCACCGATTGGACGATCGCCGACAGGAGGTCACCCTTATTACGGGTCTTAGAGTATTGGAAGAGAGACAACAGTTCCGTATATGTCATACCATTGGCACCCCTTTTGTTAGACTGATTCACTGATATGAGTGCCTCTACTTTGGATAATTGGCGCAGAAATGTCTCGCAGTCGACAAACAGCGACCAATTGATGGCATTCAAGAACTCGCGCTCCAAACGGTTCAGTTGTTTGACATCAATGTTGGCAGAGTTGGCCCACTCGTCGTTAAACACCTCGTCCTCCTCTCCGTCATCGAACAGGAACTTCGAGGCTATCATCTGATGGACACAAACAGTGATAATGCAGTCATCCATTCAATCAATCAATCCATTCATTCAATGCTTACAATAGAGACGAGAAAGAGATCACAAGTGGAGACGCGTCTCAAGTACTCGGGATTCTTGGCTTTAAGTCTTTCCAAATAAATCATTGATAACATGATAGACGTGGGAGTAATGCACGCCTCGCGCGACACCTGAGCCGCGAAAGTCATGTCAAACACGTCGAGCCCTTCGGCGCCGGAGGTGACCGTCTTCTCGAACAACTCGACCGTCACTTCCGTCAAAGGCATCGACGGATAATCGATCGTCTCATGCGATCCACACTTTATGCTCCCGTAATATAACGACTTCCGCACCCTTTCCACCAAAGAGGAGTGATTTCGCATCGACTGCAACACAACAACAACACAATACAAGTGACCATTCATTTCATCCCATTCTCACAAACAATACTTACATTGAAATGACGGCTCATTTTTGTCGATTTCACGCAATTAGCGGTCATTTTAATCGTCATTTGAATTGAATCGCAATTCAAACGCAAAACCAATAATGAAATCAATACTCAATTGAAAGCCCAATAATAGTGACGACAAACACGTATTCATTCACTCAATGCTCACAACATTATTAGACATACCTTTATATAGACTTTTTGTCGCCAATCGAGCGCTCGATTC